CCCCCCCCCCCCCCCCCAATGTCTCCTCATCACCTGTTCACTGATGAAGCCCTCTGATTCAGGCACGGTGAGGAAAAAATTCTCCAATAGCCCAATTTAGATATGGAGAGATGCACAAAAAGCTGAGAAAGATGGGTAGTATTTCTTTTAGCTACCTTTTTTGATTTGCCCAGGAGCCCGGGTGCAGCTGCAGAATGATTCAAGGACAGACATCAATGTTAAACACTTCTGAAGACAAGGATAATCTAGAGACTACTATGTTTTAAGTTGTAGAAGTCTTTGAAACTCCTGTTTTGTCCAGAGCAAAGTGAAGGTGTGTCTAAAAATTGTGTGGAAAACCCATTCACTGACATGTTCCCTGTCTCCTCAGCAGTTCACCCACGTATTTTAGACTCTCGATGATGCTTTCTGAATGAATGTGTAAAGTTTTGAGAGCTGAGGAACCCTACTCAGGAGCAGATCCTGGGCTCTCCAGATTGCTGAGCCATAAACAAGAAGCTTAGGTTGTAGTGTAGGGCCTCAAAGGGCGGACTTGGCAAGCTGCAAAGCTGAAATACATACATCACATGCACTGACTTCAATTAGCTTATGTGACACAACTTGGCACTCTTATGCTTTTGTGGTTAATCATTTAATTTTATCAACTTGGACACACATCATCTTCATTAAACAGTAACTGTCCTTGATGAATCATGCAGTTCAAGGCCAAGAAAATAATCAGAGGCCATATTATGGTCTCGGCTGAGTAGATGAAAGAATTGTTTGCAATGAGGAAGACACTGCTTTCTGTCACCCACCACAGTTTCCCTAGAATGAGGGGCCAGGAGATGATAATGTTGGGGCTTCTTTATTGCTAATAAATCACTGACAGGCTCTGTCTAGGTAATATGAGTTCTGTAGCTCAACCCAACTTGGATCACTCCCAGACTCTCAAGCAGAAGATGAGCAGCCAGAAGCCCTTGCACCAACAGTAATTGTGCTCTAAACACAGCTTCAGACCATTTGGGTTTCTGTAAAACTAGATTTTTTTATTTAATTCATACAATACATTTAAACTGTTTGGTTTTAAACCCAGGGCAGCAGGAATGTATTTCCAAGGTTCTTGTCTTTGTTGTAGACCTGAAAGCAGAAGAAATCACCCAGTTTTCAGACTAACTCCTTACTAGTTAAAATCAGTCTGTTAACAAAGTTTTTATTCTTAATTCTAATCATTGTCTTTTGGCTGTCATCATGCATATGCAGATCTTCACTCAAACCAATTGTCCCTAATGTCATCCTCTCTGTATACTGGATCAAATTCTACACCTACCACAAGGGGAACCATGCAGGGAGAGAAATTCTGTAATAGCGTGCACCTACATGACTGGTGTCAAAAAAGTGGCTGAAATCAGGATTTCTTTCCTCCTCCGGCTTTAGAGGCTGTAACTTAGGTTTCTTTCCTCTTTGGAGAGATTGAGCTGCAAGCCTTTTTCTTGTCAATGGTATCTGCAACAAAATAGCAGTTGTGTTACAGTAGAGTCAAACTAGGGCACCATTGTGCCCTCACTGACAACTTCATGAATGTAAATAAAAATTGGCTAAATACAGCGCCACTAGTGTCAGAAACCCTGTTCATCATTATCTGGATGTTTTAAGGTATGTAGGCATGACTTAATTGCTGGATTTCAGAACATAGCAAGAAGGACACTTCATCACAGTCACTTACCATCATTCCACAACATACAGGGTATGGAAGACAGCTTGGTGCCAGCATCACTGTTTATAGGAGACTTCAGTGTTAACACTAACCTCAGTTTCAAGGTTACTACCAAATGGCAAAATGAAGCCCTGTATCTGTAGATCAAATTATAGGCTTAAACTTTTATATCTGAAATTCAGATCTAGGTTTAATTTTACTCTGAATTGGTGACATTTTGATGTTGCCTCAGTAGACAGCCTTCAAGGAAAATGTGTATTCCTGCTTGTAGGACTGGTTGCATGTGCTTGCTCTGTCAGTCAAAGCTGATGACTCCTGCCTCCGTGAAAGGATATTTCTCAGCCTCAGTCTCATTAGACATATACTGGGATTACAATCCTTGCTTTGAGAGAGGAAGCAAAAATAGATGAACAGATTGTCCTCATGATATTTACTTGTTCTTTCTAGTTTTGCTGTACACCTTTTCCCAGGTTTTTCCATTGTAAAGTCATGGACTCTAATTGACCTACGGCCTGAGCATGTATCAGTTGTCACTTGATTCTAGCTCTCTCAGCCCAGAGCAAAAACTGGATCATACTAGAATCGTGAACAGCTTAGTTTTACCAGTGATGTGAGTGCCACAGCAGTCTTTTACTGAGGCGTCATCGTCTTAGAGCACAGATTTTGAGTATCCTTACACACAGCATGTCTGAAGTCCTTTTCATGAGAAATTTTGTGGCATTGTGCGAAGCAAATGCTATTACTAATTCTGCTCAAGAACAGAACATGTGTCGCCTTCTCAATGTGATGTGTTTTCACCAGTACTCATAAAGCAACCTAAGCCTGCAGTGAGTGGCATAGATGAGGCATATGTGGAGAGATTTACCCATACCCAGAAAACCAGCTCCTCTACCACCCTGTCCTGGTTCAACTAGGAGAGGGTTAAGTTAGGACAAACCCATCAGAGCAAGACTGAAGAACGGCCATCGTAAGCACCTATCAATCTACAGATTATATTTCTACAAGAATTATTTTCTTGTCCCCTACAAAATGCTAACACCTCCTGGTGCATTCATGTTGCAGTTGCTTTGGGCAAGGTAAACTACCTGCACCTCCAAACTGCTAACTCCTATTGTGTTCCTTCCTACTTTCCCAAAGTTCATCCTGAACGTGCATTCAGCTGTTTGCCTACATCTGATAATCATGGTATTTTATCTCTCCTGACATAGTATTATTCCATTTAAAAACAACTGTAATCATATGCTTCCCTTTGCAGACATTTGTGCACCTTAATGTAAGTGCTTTATATTTTTAAAAATAGGTGAGCATCTCTTCCTTAACTTACCATATACATATTAAGCATTAAAAATATAAAAAATCCATATGGATTAAATATCGATTTTATTTTTTAGAGAGCAAGTACAATGATGTTGCATTAAAATAATGCTATGTCATAGTTGTTACAGCTCTGATGATAGAAAAATAAACATCTCAATATACTACAGTGTCAACTCATTAATAAATATCAAAATAGAAGTTAGTAGTCAACTGAAATTATTAATTATTAAACAGCTATAAAAGTATACTATTTTAAATAATAAAATATTCAGTATATTTTCAGACAAACAAAAGTAGTGATTTAAAAGTATCATTTAAAATGTAAAATGAACAGTAAGAAGTTATAAATTTATTTAAAACCTTTTCCCTTACTAACATTCTCTATGCATAAAATCTAGAGAAACATTATTTATCTGTATATACTTTTTTTTTACAAAAGGTAGTATATGTTAAATAGAAAGTTAAAAACTGTAGTATTATTAATAGCTGTCACACCATTGCTAAATAAGACACTTTAAAGTAGCTTTATTTTTTGAAGCAGTAGTAGGTAAAAGTGAAGAAGATGTTAGCACAGTGAGTTCATCCAACACTAATGCCTTCCCAAAAGAATCTTTCATCTTTCAACATCTCCCTTTAAAATGTAACTGAAACAGCCCAATATAGGTATCGGGACAAAATATTAGAATTTAGGTGAAAGCCATTATTTTTAATAAATGCTAGATTTTTTTTTTTTTTTTTTAATAAGTAGGTACCTTCTTTTCTAAGGGTGTGTGCAGAAAATGAAACAAAGAGGACATGTAATCCAGAGCAGCATTTCTAAAGCTTAAGAATCTACTAATTTTAGGTTTTTAATTTTTCTTCCCCCTGCACCTCCACTTCCCACCAAAAGGCCAATCATTCTGAGCCGACTTAGACTCAGTGACACCCCACTGATTTGGCTGGCTAAGGAATTGTATTCACGCTGGCTAAGTTTAACCTTTTTTCCCTCTCCATGAATTTCAATTCCCTGTAAGATCCATGAGATGTCTGTGCTTTGGAGCACTGTCAAGATCATCATTAAAAAGTAGTGTTCTTCTTAACTAGTGCTCCATTTCTGCTTAGCAAATAAATCTTTCCCCTCTCTTGCAACCGAACTGCCAGAACACTGGCACACTATACTTCACTCATGGTCAGAGCAGAGTAAAAACTCAGCACTGACTCAGCACGAGTACCTCTGTGAGAAGTGCCCTTTCCCATTGACAGCTTACAGTCCTTAAGGCCGGCTGGGAGATCCTGGGGCTGCTGGGCTGGTGGGAAGTCAATGGGCAGTTAGCAGAGGTCTGCAGCATCTGGGTTTACAGTACGTACCAGCACAGGCAGTCCCTTGCTAGGATACAGGCAAGCATTTTTTGATGAGTAAAGATGCAAAAAGCCTGCATCACTGAGGGCTGGGGCCAGGCGCCTAGGACACAAACTGTACCACCTCTGCCAAGACACCTTCTCTGAAAAGGCTTCCCGCCCTGACAAATGGTCTCAGAGCGCCATCTCTGTAGGGATGCTGTGAGGAATTATAGGACACATTGCGCCTGCTGAGGATGCTGTCCCTTTTCAAGCCTCAGCACAGGCAGCAGTGCCTCTGCATCTCTGTGTCCTGGGCGTCACTAGGCCTTATGGCCACTTCAGGACTAAGTGTTGCTTGAAGCTGCTTCACATGTTCACTCCCACGGTTTGCAACACAGATACATTTAGGTATGCACACTAAGCAGGAAACAAATATTATATATGATCAGACTGAGAAAACAATTTTTTTCACTGCAGTCTGAAGAATACTTTACTTAGCAGGTTATCATGACACCATAGAGAGGAAAAATTAAACCCAGTTGAAAATAATGGATAAAATGTAAACTATGCCTATACAAATGTCCTTCCTTTTTAAGGTTCACTTTCAACATTCCTTGTGAACGTAAGGGAATTTCAATTGGTCACAATGAAAATTCCTCGCATACCTCGTGCACGTTTTCAGGATGAAACAGCTATTTTCCCACACACTTCTGTAGCAATGTTATTAATGTACTCATGACTCTTGGAAATAATCAATTCATAGTATTTCTTCATTTTAGAGTTTGTTTTTTTTTTTTAAATTTGGAGTAAAATGCATGCTATTTAATTGCATAAACATGTAATTTCTGAAATGTTAGACAAATAGCCAGTTAAAGGTAAAAAAAGTGGGATTAGAACTTCAAAGTTATACATATGGATTTTAACATTAACAAATGTGATGTCATGCACATGCTCTGTTTACGAGAGCAAAACTAAAAACAACTCCCAAAGCCAATGATGAGATGCAACAGTATCTACCATAATATTTTTGCGTATAGGCATGCAGTCAAATTATTTGACTTTTTTTTTCATTTTTTGAAGAAGTGCAGTATAAGAAGTTTTATTTAACAAGTTTGGAATGTTCTGTTCTGAGGCTAGATAATTTTTTCCCTATTTTTATAAGCATTTCTGATGCACAATACATTGAAAACTAACATGAACTAAATTGTCTTTAATATCTCCCATATTAAGCACTATAGGAAGCAGAGTCCTTCTGCAATCACTGAGGAAATTCCTTGTGAATTACAGGCTGCTTTCTCATTTAAGGTCATGTGCTGAGGGAACACAGCTCCCTAAATAGTGAGGCTTTTGTTGGGCTATTCATCTCCTGCAGCAGCTCTTCTGAAAAACATGGTCAAAGGCAGAGGGAAACAAGTACCAAGCAAAGCCAGAGTTTCTCATGGATAGATTCCATCCCTAGAAACAAAGCCTCCTCCCAAGGATCCTGCTCTGCATAAGCTCCCCATGGGCCTTCTAAAAGCCTTGACCTGTCACATTAGCAGCAGCTTATTCTTTTTCACTAGCCTCCTCCACAATGCAGCAAAGCCATGAGGGAGATGCAAGAAAAGAGCTGTTTTTTTTGTTTGTTTGTTTTGTTTTTTTTTAAAAAAAACACCCTATTTTTTTAATATACTTTTTTTTTAACCTCAGGACTGCAAGCAGCTTATAGTGCAATTTGTCCTGTGAGCCCGCTCTATTTGACCAGAGCATTTTAAACATTCAGGCAGGTGTCTGATAAGGAAATACTGGCCGTGCCCCTTCACAGGCAGCACTGCAATGCCAACTAAGTGCTAGAGAAGAAAACTAGTAGCCGTGTGATGTGCCTGGAAGATGGGTGTTACAGCTCAAATCTTTCTTCCACAAAGAACCCAGCTCTATTGTCCTCTACCCACATAATTTAACTCCCTCTATCAGTGAAAAGTAATTTCTAAAGAAAAAATATTAGCTATCACTTCAGTAAATGCTTTAAAGGCAATTATGGGAAATATATTCTGAGGAATCTTTTTGTTAAAAAGAAATTATCACACTGTTCAAAGAACATAATCACATATTTTGTTATATACTCAGATATTCTCTGCTGAGCTTCTAATTTTTTTTGTTGTTAAGTGAAACAGATAACCAGAGACTTTGTTTCCTTCTCACTTAAAAATACGTATGAACTGTGACAAGGGTGATAGCAGGGAAATCTTTAACAATCTTTTCTCTTTATCCCACTAACACCAATTGTTTAGAATCTGTCAATTTACACAGGAGGAAAATGGATCTACATGTTTTAAAAGAAAATTAGTTTAAGGTATACTTGATAGATTACAGAATTAATCTGTAATTAAGATATTTCTTAATATTTAAGAAATATCACTAAAATTAGGGTCAGCGTAAGGAAACTCCTTTTTATTTAAATGAGACACTTTTACCTGTATAGCAGAAAGCTCAGGGACTACTTTTAAGACTGCTTTAGAAACATTTAATAGTCCAGTTTACATTGTTTTTTAAAACAATCTCTAAAATCTAAAGCTTTTTGGACAATTTAATAGAAGGCCCATTGTCACTATATTATGTTTCTCAGTCTCACTTGATCCATGACCTAAGAAAATGTGAACACCCACATAACACATCATTTTGTTCTGCATCCTGCCTTCCTTTCACATGTATACTCCTCGGATTTCAATGGGAATTTACAGAAGAAATACAGAATAGGAAATATGGACATATCATAATTTCTAAAAACTGCATATAAAGAGGTCCTGCTTTGTTTCTGTAACTCTTATCTATGACTAGTACAGACCAATATTTAGTATCAGTAATTAACATTCCTAAAATGATACACTGCATACAGTCTTCTGGGATGATTTTTCTTTTTGTCAGCAAGATTTTAGTGCATTACAGGTTGATCAAATTTTTGTAAGGTTTCGGCAGCATAAAGTTAGCAAATCGGACTGTTAGCTGACTCTTCCAACTAACATTAACAATAACATGTCTTCTACCACTATAGCTGGTTTCAAGGGTAAGAAAATGCTTGTGCTTGACCTTGTAGCTCAGATAAATTTATATTGGTCCTACTGTGTTTAGAAGCGTTTTGCCCACTTCTGAAGGCAGAATTTGATCTCACATTTATGAAGTCAATTAATGTGTTCTTTTGAGAAAAAGATTCCTGTTTTCCTCATCTTCTTTCAAACTGCAGATTCTTTTTCACATCACAATGGACACAGTTCTCAATGCATGGTCACAAAAATTGAAGTGGTTACATATGAATTCACAGAATCTAATCCTGTCAACTAATTTACATAGAAAAAAAGAGCACGTGTGTAAAATCTGACATGTCTGACATCATACAAAAAGAACAAAGCCCTTATTTGGCAAAACACTGACATGTAGCTAGCAAGCCAAACACAGCTCTGGTGTAATTTATCTACTTGCAATGGAGTTGATGCTGCTGACTCCAAAGGTGAAGTCAGCCGGCAGTGATCATCATGCAGACTATGCTGTTGGACAGAGGAACTCTCTTGTTTTCTGTAGCCACTCAGTTTCCAAATACCTTAAAATTTCCATAAAAGTTTTTATGTTGAAACAAGTAAAAAAAGCTGAAAATTACTCTTTATGAGATATAAATTATCTTTAAGTGACATCATACATATAAAAAACTATACATATAATTTACCTGTGTGTGTGTGCATGCATGCATGCATGCATGTGTATACACACACTACTATACACTCACACCAGTAACTAAGCGCTCATTTAATCCAGTCTTTTTTTTTTAAGTAATGAGGAAAAGCTAAGAGGCTAAAGCAGACAAATCAGTGGCATTTGTTAATTGAGAGAACTAGAAAAGTACCACTTACTCTATTTAAGAGTGTCTGAATAGTTTAATCTATTGCTATAATATACAGCAATGTTAATATTTCAGTCACAGCTTTTATCCATTCCCACAGAGCACATCAGTACTAGCTACATGTAGAGTGATATCAGTGCTTTGTCAGATCGGTTCATACCTACATTCTAGGCCATAACTAAATAAATTAGAATATGCTAAAGTGCTACATTAACGCTAAAGTTCCTGAACAGTAGTAACGCACATTTCTCTTTCAAAAAAAAAAAAAAAAAAAAAAAAAAAAAAAAAAGAAAAAAATACAGCAGCTATAGTTTCAAACATAGTCACAGTATGTGAATATGCTTACAATGTCACTCTGTTACAGTATTCAACAAAATGCACGACACAAAATCAGATGGCAACAGTCAAGACTCCAACAGAGTACAAAACGTAACTTTAAAAAAGTGGAGCGTGATGGAAATAGACATTTGCAGAAAACACACTGTCTTCAGAATTCACACTTGAAAGTTTCGTTTAATCGTAACTTGCTGATGTCGATATTTATTTCCTCTGGCTTGTCACGTCTGTATGTTACTGTTCTTGTACAAACAGTAGGCAAAAACATCTTATCCTTGAAGGAGAAGATACAATTTTTATCAACAATTAGCTAACTTTTATATGCAAGAAAAAGATTACTGAATATGATGGCTCTGAAGTCAATTACCTTCTTTGTTGCAGATACTCTGTAATCAGCTGAAGATTTAACTTTATTGCTACTCCCTTGCAGAATTATCTGCCTGATGATAAGGACAACAAGCAACCCGATCAGAAAGGTAACTATAAAGATTATGGAAAAGACTCTAAAGTAGCTTCGTCCAGAGAAACATTCTGCAACAAAAGGAAAACACAAGTGTAAAGCCTAATGTATGGAATAGGCACATCCCTCAAACACAGTTATATTATCTACCACTGCACAGTAATGTCACATAAATGTAACACGAGTCTGATAAGAGTTAAGGGAAAATAACTTAAGGGAAGTTTAAAGGAAAAGGTGCCATATGTAAGCTTTTAAAGTGGGGCATATTGCAAAAGGCAATTCTGATTAAGATCCACTGTAGAAAAATGGTGAAAATATTATTCCTTCAATCTACAGAACTAAGACTCAACCTTCATTGTGCTGGCCACCATATATTCTCTGTAAGCTGGAGGGTGAGTTTATAGCTGAAACATAGAGGATGAATAGTTAGAGATGTATGGGGTCAAGACAGTTTAATCTTTACAAGATTACAGTGCAGATCACTGGTAAAATAGAAAAGAAAAAGTGGTTTCTTGAATCTTTGTCTCCTCACTGGTAAACGTCTCTCACACAGCAAGCTTTCTTTTAATTAATATTAAAATTATGAGAAAAGTATTCACAGTTACTTTTCTCATTTCTGAACAACTATAAGAAAATGTACAAAAATGTGAAGTGACAAAAGGCAACCATTTACCTGCTTTTCTGATGCAGTGTGGACTAATTAAGCTTTATGAGATTTTATCTAAAAAGTTTTATTCTTCCACAGCCCTCATAACTGTGCAGTTTTTTATACTTGAAAGGAGTTATGTTACTGAATGTGAGGTAAGCATTCTACTTCACTTCCTTGTTTCTGGTAATGTTAAATAATGTAAGCATATCCAAAGTAATAAAGCATACAGATGCCATAACAGATTTTTATAAATATTTCTTTAAGCATTGCTCAGCAGGATTCATTATTATTAGATGTGACTTCTCAAGGAGCTGGGAAATCTGATTTAGCAATGCTTGACAATCACATTTCCTGTTATTATTTATCTTTTACTTTCCCTGAAGCTATGAGTGATTTTTCTCCCTGCTTTCGTTCTTTGTTATTGTAATAATATGACACACTTTTGAAAGACATTGTAATAGTAATGAATTCAATTATTAAATCCAACAGATTTTCACCTCTTATTAAAATTACTTAGAAAATGTCACATACCTGAAGTTTGGTCAATATAATGCAGCAGGTAAGAGCATGAGGTTGTGCACTGGTCAAGTTTTGCTTGAGATGCATTGTTAGAATGATGGCACTGAACACAATTCCTGTAAAATAAAAATGTAATTAAAAACCCATGTCTTTCTCTGCACTCCCCTTAAAGAGATTGTATCAACAGGCTGACATACTGCTTGCACACAATGCTTTCCTGTTGTTATTAAAAACATTGCGACATTTATTTTTTTTTCCTGAAATGTGATGCCTCTCTCAGCATTTTATCCCTGTGATGATTTTCAGAACCAACTAGTCAGAAGTCATAAAGTAAAACATGTCTTTGGCTTTGAGCCACCTTCATCCGGCCTCTGCTCTGCATTTTGTGATGTGAGTTTTTCAGGGGCTGTAGCTAAGGGCCCAGCACCCTTTCTTCAGCTATCAGCCTCCAGCTCAGTTCTATCCTTTCCTTATCTATTAGTCTCACTGTGATGTATGCTGGAACTGAAGGATAGACATAGGTGTAGGAAACACAGATTTGCTAATAATTTGTTATCAATTTTTTGGATGCTGTGTTAAGAGAAGGCCACACAAGTTCCCACTGCTGGGCAGTTCAGCAGGTCAGCAGCACACTGGGAGGCAGCACTGTCAGTCTTACCATCTTCACTGTACCTAGCCTTGCAGAAGATGGACATCACAAGTGATCCTGAAAAAGCCTTGATAGAATTTTTAATGAAGCTATGCCATCTTCTGAACCTACTGAAGACACGCATTTCACAGAGCCTTTGAACAAGTGTAAGCCAGCAAGGCTAGCTGTGTTTTATCTAGTGAAGTCTTAGCAGTCACCTTTTCAGACACGGCCCAGCTTGGCTCTCCACCATATTCACCGGAACAGCTATAGTTCAAGTGAATACAAAAGAACAACAGTTCTGTTTTGATCACAGTTCCCTTTCCAATGAAAGGCTAATCTCTCACCCTCTTGGCCACAGTGGGATGCAAAACATGACATGTGCTGACAGGAGGGCACAGAGAGCCATGCCCAAGGACAGGGCTTCACTGACTCTAAGGCAGCACCATTCAGTGTGATACTGAGAGCTTGGTCTAGCTTCCCTCCTCCTTGGTCTGATCATTTCAGCCTGCATACTGTTTCTTCCATTACATGGGCAAGGAAAAATGACATGTCTTAAAACTAATATTGCAAAGACTAAGTGTTTAAAACTGAGTAATGGAGAATGTTGTTCTCTGGATAAGACCAGCTCTGCTCTACGGACCAACGGCAGTGATAATATGCAGGTACCGCTCTTGTTCCACACCTCCTTTCAGCTGAGAAACACATGGAGTGTGCAGAAACAAATTTGAAGAATATTATTGGACTTGGTGACATTCAAGAGTAGGATCTACCGTTCATTTTTAAAACTCCAAAATTATGGGCTTTATTTCCTAACTAGAAGATTTCATATGAAGAACCATCTTTTAACAAATACATAAAGAAAAAATTACTCATAGGGCACACTTTCTTTGACTTCAGAAAGCTGAAAGATGGACACAGACACGGACATGCAATTCTTGTAGTTGCCAGTGTGAACCCTCAGCTATATAGAGAAAAGTCTCAAGTGTAACTGTTTCAATATCCTACAGTCTAAATATTTAAGAAATATAGCACACATCTAGCCAAGCAGAAATATTTCTCCTGGTTTCAGCAGTACAGAGTTAAAAAGTCGAGTCTAGCACAAGAAACATACCAGTTTTCTTCACAGGCTTTGTTACAGGTAGGGCAGTATTCACACAACCGGCCAAAGCTTCTTGGATCTGTGCACTCACACTTTCCACATACACATTTTCCTCTTCCACTGCAAATCTGGCCCTTTGAATTCAGGCAGTGCTTTGCTGATTGTAATGAGCACTGGCAACGGTCACCTTCCCAGCCAGCAAAACATTTGCATTTACCAGCTTCACATTCACCATTACCTACAACATCAGATAGCCTTGAGTCATATGCTTTTATGAAAACATAGAAAGTCAACTTTTATATGCATAGGTTTTGTACTGCTGGTGCTTTACATTAAACAGAGGTAGTTTAGACCTTGGCTTGCTAATTAGTTTTTAAGTTAACAATATGGGCTGAACTTACCAGCATGGTGCATATTTATGGCTGCTGTTTGTTATTAAGTTCAAAAGCTTCTACCTTGATGTCATCCTAAAACCTTTTACTAGAATTTTTCCCTGTTGCCTTTGATCAAAGCAGTGGGGATTAAAAATTACACAACAATTGAGAAAACAGTCTTCAGGCAAACTAAACAAACTTCTCTTTAGCAAGAAAACATTCAATTCAAATAAACAGCAAGATTCAGTTGAGGAAGGAGTATCAAGTTCGTGTGCACATGCGGCGTTGTTTTTTTCATTTTCCTTTCAGAAACACATGATAGCATTACTTGTATGCCTTTCTAACAGATGACTGAGCTAGACAGGTCGGTATGCTCTGTGTATGAAGGCTGTTCAGTAAAAACTTAAAAATGCACAGGCTCAAGGATTCAAAGGCTCTGGTGGCCTTTACAGTTTGCCAGGCAAAGCAGTGGGAGCTTTAGGGCAAAATCCATATGTTTTCCATGTTGTAGCACATGTAGCAGGTGTACAACTGGTATGCTGATAATGTTTAGCCACATTTTTACAGCACATGAGGAGAGCACCTGTAGACAATACAGAAAGAGAAAGTGCATAAAGCACTGGCAGGTCTAGCAAATCTCATGAGGTATCCTCAATTCTGACTTGGCAGTGCCTAAGTTTCACACAAACTGCAGTGGCCCTTCTTGTGCTCCATGGATCCACAGAGCAGCTGCAGGGAGACAGTCCCATGTGACAGATGGGATCCCCTAAATGGGAGTGATGCCAAGGTACAGGCTGCCCCATTTTTTGCCTGGGCTGGGCAAAATGGAGGGAGGAGGGAAGGAGATCACAGGACATATCAGAGCAAGGCTCTGCACTGGAAAACACCCCACGAAGAGGCACATTGCTCAGCCACGGCCCTGGATGGCAGGTTCCCCTTGTGTACCCCAGGGCAGGATTCCATCACAGGCGACAGTCTCTAACACCTCTTAGACAAAGACCTGTCTCCACTGCCGACAAGGGCACCACATCTCTGGCTTTAGGAGCTTTTAAGTTTGAAAGGTCTGATTATGGTTAAGAAATAGTAAATTTTCAAAGTGGGTTAGGAAGAAGAGTGAGAAGATGAACCATAATTCTTTGTGTTGAAATGTATTTAAAGGATTAGGTAACATTAGTTATCTTCATTTTAGGTAAAGTTCACAGTCACCAGCAGAGCAAAACCAAAATAACTTTACTAAATCCATAGTATTATTCTTAATTTATCCAACTGCGGTCAAAAAAATCAGTCCCTCAATTCACTCATTGGTCAGTATACAGTGCAATGAAAGGATGCAGGATGGCAGTATGAATTTTAAATTATTTAATTACTTCTGAGGGGAAAAGAAAAATTCTGGTAGAGATACAGTAATAATACTGATTCAGTCCCATTTTTCCTTAATAACACAGTTAAAATACATGTTTTGTATTTTTTTCATATGCAATTTTCATTTGCGTGCTTTCTTTAAAAAACATAAAGTAGGCCACAAAAAGAGTAAGCATTTCTAACAACTCTCCCTGTTTACGTTTCAATTACACTCTTGTTTTTGGAGCAGGTGTTCCAAACAGCATTAGTACATATGTCACTATTTGAAATCAATGTCACTGCATCTGTCACAAGGCTGACTTAGGGTGTTAGAAAGCCAGAACCTCATCTGGAAGATATAATTCCTCCTGTTCTCTTAGTATTTCATAATCCCATTAGACTGAAATGTGTCGACTTACTTTCTGGAATAATGTTACTGTTTTATCTGAGATATTGTAGTATCATTCCTTCTGAAGAAGTTTGAGATTTAAATCTTAAAATAGCTAAACTTAGAAAAACACAATAAAAGCCCTAAAAGGCACTGAAGAAGTTCAGAAGACAATGTATACCTTTGTGTTGAAGAAAGGCCAGGAGCATGAATTCCTACCAGGCTGTTCAGGACATTTCACAGACTAATTCTGCACGTGGAATTCTTGTACTTGACAGCCTTATAGAATTGTTTTCGGCTGCACCATTTATATCAGCTTCAGAAAACAAAACAAAAACCAAAATACAGACATAACCTCTGCAGCTTACCAGAACATAAGTTGCCCTGGTGATATGGGCAGGAAAAATCATCCATTTCACAGTACTTCCCATACACCGTGCCTAGCTTGTTTTTGTAGCAGAAACATTTTCCATCTATGCAATTTCCTTGACCACTGCAGATGGGCTGGTCCCGGTGTCGTCTGCACCTCTCAGAAGGAAACGTATCTCTGTTAGAGCTACAATTATTGTCACTGCAATGGGACTGTTTGCCATCAGAAAAAGTTTCATCAGCCCATACTCTTTTGTGCCTTGCACTGTCTCCATACTGACAGGCACAGCTTTTCCGCACGTTAACAATGACGGTTTCATTGAAACCAATAGGCTTAAGTATTGCATATTTTCTTCCTCCAGTTGTATCACATCCCTTCATTGTAACTGATACATTGAAAAGTACCTAAGAAGAAATAAAGACAGATTTTATGTCACTATTATTTCCTATAAATTGCTTACATTTTTTAACACATAAATAAAGCAGATTCTTACACTCTGCATGAATGTGCCCTAGCTAACAGTAAGAAAATAAACAGTGGCCATTTGTCAAATATGATATACTAATAATGTCAGGCATCACAAATACAGTTAAAATCCTAACAACAGAAGATTGTCAGCAGTCTACTTTTCATGTTAAGAAAGCATAGTTGCAAAATACAAGTTTAATACAAGTTAGATAGTAATAGAATTACCATCAAAATCCTTCTGTTATTTAATATACACATTCTGTTGTATTATATACTCAGATGAGAATTGGGACTAGATTGAGCAGGACAATACACAAACAGGAACAGAGATACTCTTCATAAAAAGAACCTATAAAGAATGTTCTTTATGCAGAAATGGTCTGTGCAAATAGAAACACACAGTTTTTTTGGATGGCCCTGTCTATTCCTACTAAAATACAGAAATGGCTCACACCTTAGTAGCAGCTTATTTTTCCCAATTCCTACAATGGGGATGGAGCAAGAGAGTCTTGCTGCTGTTACCGTGGTCCTGGGCAGACCAAGTGCTGCTTCAGAGTGGAGTCAGTGCCTAGCTCCTGGCCATGTCATGGCCATCACCACCACACCCCAGGTCCTCACCACAGTAGTGCCCACTGCAGCAGCAGCCCCTGTGGCTTTCCAGAGTCCTGGCACAGGACCCGGGATCATTTTGGTGATTAAGCGACTGCCATAGAGTTTGCATGGATCATTACAAAAACTCTTTGATAACCCTGACAACTGTGAACTGGACAGCAATCTTGTATTTCATTATTGGTTTGGGTTTTTTTTTTGACCAGTAGGCTTCTGACAGGGTATTCTCTATTTAGCCTGCTGACAGAAAACAACTCTCCCTCACCTCCTCACTGAGAAAATATAACCAAAAGGAAAAGGTGAGAAAAGAACCCAAGAGAAGCAAACACCTTTACTCTTTACCACCAAAGAACAAAGATTTCCAAATAAAGACAAAACCTAAGAAACTGATTAAATATGAGGTTGAAACTACCCGCAAAGACTAAGGCCATTCATTTCTCATCACTGTCTCCCCCTCCCACTGCGCCCCCACACAAGAACAGCCGAGCCCTTGGGGACAATGGTGGCTTTGTGGCAAGCGGAGCTGTAGCTGCCTACACGGACAACAGGAGAAGAATGTTGTGCTGAAGCATGCACTTAATGTCATATCGAGAGCATGCACAGGCTTTGTCTTGCCCTTTGCTTTTCTTCTTCTTGTTTCTCAAATGCGCCACTACCCACATAGCCCTTCAGTTGCCTACACTCTCCGTCCATGTATGAGACTTCTTCCCTTCAGTTATGTGGTAAAAGTGTGGCTACGCAGTAATTAATTCATATGACAGGTGCGTATCATGCAGGGAGAGACTGTGCTTTTATTCAACAGAGAGTCCTGCTAGAAAACACCATGTACAACACAGTACTGGAGAAATGGCAGGGATATAGGAGAGAAGGGCAAATCATGTCTTGCATATGAGTCATGAAATTTGATGGGTCTGAACACAGCAGCAGAAAGATTAAACATATTGCGCCTAAATAATTACAACACCATGAACACTGACACTTGCTAACAGCCAAAGTTAGTTTTGCACTCTGAAGAGGTCGTAGGATTCTTACAGAATATAATACATTTTGTGTTTTGTTAAGAAAAGGAAGGAAGAAGCATTAGACAATGAAAGGAATGTGAGAATTAAGGAAAAGCATTTTGCTTGTAAACAAATGCTGAAAGGAGGATTTATGGTTAAAATAAATTAATCTCTTGAGGATGGCTCATTTTCAACAGCAGTAGAGGTTTAGGACCACATGCAATCTTTTACAATCAACTGGCTTGGTTTTTTATTAAAAAGAAACAGATATAAATATTTTTCTTTTCATTAAACAGAACAAATTCCAGCCCTATTTCTTATGACATGCACAGGGAACAACACTGGAGAAAAGATGAGTTAAGAAGAAAAACACAGCAAGTCTTCCTTAAACCGTAGAAGCTAATCAGCAGCAAGTCATGCAGAGAAAATTCAGAAGAGCATAAAATACATCTAAATGAATGTATTTAAAATTCACACATTTAATCTACATTTGTTTTGCTATTTCTACACACAGACACAAGTAAAATCACACCAGCTGAGATGTATGTACATGTCAAGAAGGAAAGAACTCCTTGACCCTGCTCTCCAGAAACACAGACCTCTTCCTGGCAAGCTAAATGAATTACTCTACTAGTCCAAGTGATTAAATAAATATATCAAGGCACAGAGAAGTTGTTCTGGGAAGAAAAGCATGTTCTTTATATTAGCCAGACACCTTCCCCTGCATTTTCATTGTGCATGATGCTCCAGTTTTCCAATCTGTTTCATTCAGTAGGTAGCACAGATCCAAATGGGGATAAATAATTTTATTAATTTGTTTTATAAAATAAACTAATTATCCACAACCTTGATTGTGCATGAAGACTACTAGAACAAGGAGAAGGAAAGATGGCATCCAGCACAGACCCAAGGAACACTAATTCCAGTGATTTTTTTTCCACCGGGTGATCACCTTTCAACCTCTTTTCATACAGATTTCATCACAATGAACACGGCCATTGTGTCCAGTGGAGGACAAAGGAAGAGAGGTAAATGGACGTTAGCTTTCAGGAAAAGCTTTGAGCCTTAGTTCCATGAGATTAGTGAGAATTAAAATAAGATTCAGGCAAAATAAAACCAGAGAATAATAGAGAGTCTGTGACCACTAATTACATAAAATCAGTTTTCAATTAACATAAACCCCTAGAAGATTTCACACCATTGAAACACAACCAAAAAGAAAATTAAGTATTCCAGTTCCTTGAGGAACAAGAACTATCAACATACTTCTTCATTATATCCCACATTTTTACATCCTTCCATGCCAGTTTTTTTACTTCCATCAGGACAGATTGCAGTGATATTGAAATGAAGACCTTGGATCTGGTTATCCACTTGAATTTTCACTTCAGAGATTAGTTTCTGTAACCAGAACACAAGTTTTAGTTGCATTGTATCTCAACATATAATGTCCGTTAGTGGCTAACACCAAGTACGGCTACTATGTCTGACTAAAAATGAAGAAAGCTTGTCTGTGTGAATAAAGGAATGAATTAAAGCATTGTTTCCCATATAAAGACCCGATTACATTCCAAATATACACAAGGAGTGAACTGGTAATTCTGATAAAGAGGATTACGCTTTCATGATAAAAATGTTTTCAGCTTTTCTAAAATGGTTTTGAGACTGTATTTTTCACAATTTGAAAATCTAACAACTGTGCACAACAAAACCCGCTTACTTACTCTCTTGTTGAGAGACTACACAGCCTTTTAGCCACACATTTAAAATAAAACAGTAAACATACATACAACTATTGTTATCCAGCAGAAAAGGTTCCTAATTGACTTGACACTTTATAAACTTCTGATACTTTGCATCTGTCTTGGAAAAGTTTTCTCTGAACAAACTTTAGGGAGATCTAAAGGCTATTGAGATTATTCTTACTGATTTATCGGGTCAGCTAGGACTATATATGTCAACAACTGGTTGATTCCCATTAGGGCTTTTTGCAATATAAAATAATGAAAAAGCTAGCTATTTTGAAATTTGTATTTACTGCATGCTCTAAAATCCTACTTTATTCCAAGAAGGAATATTGCTTCTTGACTTTAAAAAAATTTATTAAATCTCTGCACAAACCTATGAGCTGAAAATTGCACAAAGAGATTACTAAAATTCCTGGCATATTACTATATAAAAAATTAGTTTAGTGGGATATTTTTACTGCTACAAATGGAAATGTAGTTACATGAATCTGAACACATGTTTATCTTAGCAACTTTTTGAAAATTAGTGACTCATCTTTCATTTTTTAGCCAGGGATTTTCAGCTAGGGTTTTCCACAAGTAAGCCTAAGGTTTCCCTGCCTAGATCAAGAGTGCAAGAGGCCCACTGTCATCGAACATCAACACTAAATTTATTTTCTTATCTGAGTACTTTTGCTTTTAAGAAAGCAAAACATTCATGCCCTGTTCACCGTGTGTTTGTATATTACAAGCCCCTAAAACTATGATAAAAATCTCAAAGTATCAAATCCAATGAAGTTTAGGATGGGAAGGAAGATACTGTCTGAAAAATGAAAACAGGGCAAGAGCAAACTGGGGGTGGCTGGAGCAGGAAAGTCCCACAGAGTCTTGAACTAAATCACTATTTTGTAAATTTTCGTTTCCTTTCCTTGAATGTTTGCCCTGCACTGTGCTCTAAAAATAAGGATACAATTTAGGATGGACAGTGTAAAAGTGTCATACAAAAGGACTACAATCTTTGCACTTTTTGCCAACAATTTCCTGCAAAACTCTATACCCAAAATCCGTATCTTGATAAAAGAAAGTACAATATCAGTGAGAACTCTGCAACTTGATTACACCTAACCTCCTCTGCTTTTGAATGTCTTTGCATTCTGCACAATGTTTTCAACATGCCAGTGAGAAAAATGTGCACAAACCAACTCTATTGACCAGGAACACACATGGGTCTTGGCTCTTCATTATAGCCAATTTGCTGAAAGCAAATAGCCTGATTTAGATGGTAAACCTAGTACAATGGATAATTTCAGCCTCCCGTGTCCAACTGATTAAAAATAATGTCATACATGTTGATACCTTGCGTACAGCTTTGCAACTTATTTTTCAACTTTCGGAACTTGAGTGTTTGTGTAACTTGCAGACTTTAGCATCATTCAACCATCAAACCCATCACGTTCATTCTGATACTGCTCTATGGGCTCCCTGTGCTCTAGTATATCAAATGTATATACATGGCTTCATTTTCAAAGCCATTTATGCCCCCTCTTACCAGGCTATCTTTCATTCACTATCAAGATGCCAATTTCCACTTTCAACCTGCCATTCCCTCTCAATCATTTGTGGAAAACAACTTTATGCTCTTTCCCATACTATCTCTTTCCCATACTACTACTTTCAGTTGAGAACTCCAGACAAGAGTTCACAAAAACAGTTCTCTCCTATCAAAACTCTTCCTCACTGCCATGCCTCAAAACTCTGAATCTTTACCCTGTTTTGTACAGTGTAAATCCTGCTTTCCACAATATCCACTGTTGTCAAACTAACTCCTTGTAAATTCTCATCTGTGGTTTATTTTCTAAGCATTATGCTGTAAAACTCCCTAGATACTGCACTATTCTTTTTGCTCTGAATTTATATGGTACCTAGACAGTGGTGTCTGGTCTGCAACTGAAGATCTTAGAGGCCAAAATTCAAATAAGTCAGACATTTCTTTTGAAGTTAGATGGTAACAGATGCAGAGAAACAAACAGTATATTTAGAAGCATCCTTAGAAAGGAAAAGTGCTAGCTCTTGGCTTTAAGACCCCAACAGCCTGGGAATTTGAAAGCTATTGTGGGATAGTGTCACCCACCAACCCGGACATTCAGAAAAATACAGAACTTATCCTTGTGAAATTCAGATAGAAGCCAGGATCCTGGAAATTCCAACTTTAGGCTATGAAAGATAAAAAATCCCAGTACAAATACAGCATACAACACTGTCACTCTCATCATACCACATTGTCACTCTCATCATACCTGATACGCTTCTACCACCAAATCATTGAGATTTGCTGCTTGTGATTCTATCTGTCTTGCAACAGTACCAGGCAACAGAGGTAACAGATCCTATGAAAAATACAATTATTTATGCATATTTTTAATTTTTAAGGGAAATATTGTCCTTTCAAAATTGGAAAAAGAAATCAGGTTTCTAACCTACTTTATACCAATGGAACTGGCTTCCTTGAACTGCAAAAATAACATTGATGTTATTGTCAATCAATTTTTCAGAAAGCTGCCCAAGAGATGGATGCTCCTGCAAAATACAACAGAAAAGAAGACTGCAGATTAGTAAGGAAAAGCCTTGTATTTCACATAAGACACAATACAGGATTCTAAAACCACTCTAATCCTTATTTCTAAATGTACAGAGAAATGCTAGGCCTACATCCAAAAGAAGGTGGCACCAACCAAATAAACAGATTGTGACAAAAAAAAATCATCAGGGCATGAGCCAGACTATGACAGGCTTATCTGTTGCAGCAGGGGTGCTGCACAGTGAGAGGACTAACTCATACAGTACTATTTTGTTGGTCTGAGTCTGATGTTTAAGAAATATGGGTATGATGTTGTCCATGGTCCATCTTGAAGAATAACAAGATTCCTGAGAATGACAAGTCAGGGAGAAAAACTACAACATGAAGGCACTGAGATGAGGTGTGATTTTGAGAACAGCAAGGTGAGTAATTAAAAGTTTGTCTCTCATAAATGTATTTTGGCATCCGGCATCAGACACATCAGCTGAATGCAGCTACTGTGTCAGGTTCTTGCAATGTCAACATTCTGTACATATCCTACTTACGGCTGACAGCTTTCTCCTTCTCTGTACGTCCAAGACCTGTCTTAGGAATGATGCCTCTAGTCCTCACCACGACGACCTGCTACATTTTCTTAACCACGCTTGTGTGTGAAGAAGGTAGCATGAGTTTCACATCTCTCCCCAGTATGACATTGCTTTATTTGGTGAAGTACCTAAGACAGGTCCTGTGCCAGTGACCTGACCTTCTACACTTCTCATTGAGAAATTTGACATGGATTCGAGAGCAAGAGGTGAGTTGCTAATCCTTTATCCAAGATCTGTGGAAGCACAAGTGTCTGTGTGGTGCCAGTGGGCTTTGTACATCTGGGCTATGTGAGATCCTTCCAGCTCCAGTACTCTAAAACAAACTATCTGAAAGATACTGCTTATTTACTATGTATCTGTGAATACTTCTCAAGAAGTAAATTCAACATTTAAAATTCATTCCTAAACATAGAGAAGTGACTGAGGCCTTGGCCTGTGTTTCCCCTTACAGAGATTTCACCTGGTCACCCCCACTTACGTCAGGTCCTTCAACCTCTTTCTCCCAGATACTTCTGCTGCCTTCCTCTTCCTGGTATTTTTTACTATCTGCACCATATTGTCTCTCTCTTGCACACACGCTCTGTTTCTCTGTACAATTCATTTCTTCTCAGAGTGCCACTTGTTACTTAAGAAACCCTGCAAGTCAATTGCTCTCCTAACAGTAATGTGAATGCCAAGACAGCTGAGACAAAGTTATGCAAGGGGGCAAAATCCGTTTTCTATCGTATTGCACCATTATAAAGAGCCTTGTATAGAAAGAACAAAAGGAGTTTCTTGCTTGCAGTTTGATCTTAGCCAGGGTCCGCGCCTCTCTGAACTCTTCTGCCCTTCAGTAAGAAATTATATACCTTAAGATAGGTGATGAAAGATACGTAACACAGCAATAAACAGGCTTTCTTACAGCTCCAGCTGGGGAGTGTGCCATACACAAGGGTCCATGAGCATGCATTGCCACTACAAAACAGTTGTGGGTGAACTGCAGCAGCAGTGGCTTTGTTGCCATTTTCAGTAACCTACAACACTGTACTAAACCCTCCTTCCTCCTCCATGACCACAGAGCACAGTGGTGGGGCCTCCATTGTGCTGTACAACCTTACAGGCCACATGCAACTATCCGGCAGATCACAGACACAGTAAGTGGTCCCAGGGCAAGCGAAGCCAGATGTTCTGCAAATACTTCCTGCACTCTAAGTGTGTGAACGACAGAGGCGGTATTGAGGGATCCTGAGATGGTGGTCAAATAAGTCAGTCTTCCTGCTTAACATGTTGACACTAGACATGGCCAAATTACAGCAGTGTCCCCTCAACACCTCTGCAACTAATAGCAGAACTCTGGGATCAGTGGTATCAGAAATGGGTTTCCCAAGCCCTCATGAAATAAAAACTTATTCAGATGGAGCTTAGTGAAGAGAAGAGATGACATGCATAGATGTGCAAGGGTTGCAGGAACTGGATCCCCAAACCACATACCTAGCCTGCTTACAAGTAAAGCTGAACTTTCATCTACTTGTCAGCTCTAATTCACTAGAGCTTGGTTAGTAGTACATTAAGGTCTCTCTTCAGAACAGAAAGAAAATTTTTCCTTTTCTTAGAAGAGAGTTTAAAAAAAAAAAAAAAAGCACTAACAGACCCACACTGTCTCTTTCATTTTAAACATGTAAAGAGATGACGTAAGGAACTGTTGGTCACTCATGCAGCTTCATGTTGCTTGCCATGAAAACCTTGCTGTACTTAGGTATTTTTATCTTATCTCTTCCCACTACTGCTCCGGCAAATATACTTTCATTTTAGATCATCTTTCTTGTTCCAATTACATCATTCATTTTATTATTTTAACCTACTCTGTTAAACTGAGAAGATAACTAATACAGATGTTAAGTATTTCACAAAGGGAGTCAACCAGGCATAGATCTAATTAAAATGGACTAGATTTCTTTCCTGTCTTACACTTTTTTGCTGACCTCTGTGTGACTGCTTAGCAAAAGTTAGAAAGAAACAGGCAGAAAAGTGATTAACTGGAAATATTTCTGATGTAAAGGCTAAGCTTATACAAATAAATAAAGCAAAGTCCTCTTAACTGGCACAAGGAGGAAATAAAATTATGCTAAAATGAAAGCTTCTCAAGACTACCAGAAGCTAAGAATCAAAGTAGGAAAACAATGTGATTACAGATGGCTCTTTAATTTAGCATAGCACAACAAAACTGCATTGATAGGAAAAAAAAAAGGAAAAATATGTTTCATATGACGTATTTTTTTAAAAAGCTGACAGCCTTTCATGACATTTCATTTAAATATCAAAAAGTCTTTTTTCCCTCCCTGATTTTTCTTGTTCATCTGAAGCTTCTTTATGGATCTCCACGATTGAAGTAATGACATATACCACTGAGAAGAAGAAAAAGCAGTAAACCAGTACACCTACCCTTACAGACACTATTGTGTTATCATGTCAAATCTACTCCAGAAAATATCTAATACTGAGAAAGATTTCCCATCTACCCCTTTTCTATTACTAAGAGTATGCCTACTGTTGTTACATGTGGGCATGCAAGAATTACCCCTGGCTGAAAAAAAATATGGGTGGCCAAAGTGTGCCTCCACAGATCTAAGCATCTTTCAACATCATTTCATTTGGATGGATAAAAAGACTACCTCATTTCATGAAAGGCATCAATAGCAATATCAATGGAGATTTTTTATTCTATATGGGACAGTAAAACCATGATCTTTCAGACCAGAATTTGGAGTATCAGTTAATAAAACACTTTCTTCAGTCAGCTGTCAATCTATCATAGTTGCTTAGAGATTCATTAATTTTTTTTTCTGTATTTTATATTGGTGAGATTTTCCAACTGCAACAGAACTTAATTTCTCAAGTTGGACAGAAAATAAATATAGGTTGTTTGGGTTTTTTTTTGTGAAACAGACAATATCTTTATTAACAAAGGAACACTGAACACCAGAAAAAAAATTGTACCTTCAGGAATTGTTTAATAAACTGAGCAAAATTCCCCTCACTTATAGCACTGCAACTAGGGGGGGGAAAAAAAAAAAAAAAAAAAAGAAAAACTGAAATAGAGATAGGGACACCATAACCTGTACGTATGCTCTGCTTTGGGAAAGGACAGTTTCGAGATTATTTGCTTTAAGTAGAATAAAGGAAGAGGTTGTTTTTATCCAAGGGACACTGTAGAAATACTGAAACTGAACAGACTAGCTAGAGGGAAATAAATAATCCTGACATCTGTGAGGGAATATCCAAGAGGTGACAGAGGGAGTAAGTATATGAATGCAAGAACATCAGATAATCAGAAATCCAAACAACCTTCCTGTTAGCACACTCTCAGCTCCCTCCTCCGCTCAGCCAGGTCCCGAACACCCACTGATTCCCAGAAACCTCCCGTATTTCATGATCACACACCATATGGTGGCCTCTTCCTGCTGCCTCACCATCCTTGTAAACACTAGTTGCTGAGATTAAATTCAGGTCTGGCCAAACTTACATGTAGCCCTGACTGACTCCACTAACACATTGCTGGCTTGGGCTGAACACAGTCTATATACTTTAACTAAGTGCAGCTAGCACTGAGAATAAAGCTGTAATGTGCTCCAATGATATCACAGTTCGGATTTCTGCTTTCTGGTGATTACATGGTAATTAAGTAGTGATTCATGCTTATTAAATAAATGATTCATATTTATTTAAGAAAATAGCCAAAGCAATTAGAAACTAAAAATCGTAGGAAAAAAATTCCTTTCTTCAGTCACTCAGGACTAAGTTATACACTCCTGAAATTATTTTGAAAGCTAAAAATATCTGCTGAAGGTGTAGTATTTTGCTATTGTGGATTTGATGCACTTTTTGCACAGGTAGGTATTACCACACATTGGCTTTATCCTGTGAGATTCAAATGCTACATGACTACAGCAAAGCTCTGTGGCACAAGAATATTTTCTAGTCCATCATGGTTGAATTAGCTCACTGCTGTTGCACATCTTCTGCTTTATTCTTACCAAGCTACTTCAATCAGTGCAGCTATGTGTCTTCTGACCATAAACCATGACCACTACCTTCATCTTATTAGCAGGATTATGCAATTCTTACGTATTACCAGCTGCTTCTTGTGCAAAATATCACACCAGACGCTTCCTACTTATATTTTATACAAAATGTGTGTGATTTTTATGAGGTGGTAATTAAAAACCACACCCAAACGAGGAACATATCCTCCTCTGTTGTGTACTGTTGTCTCAGGCTCCAAAGTACTTTATCCCAGACACAAACAATATCAGCATTTCCAGGTGATTGGTTCTTCATTTCATAACTGGCCTACCTGGAAAAATACTAGTCTAATAACTGAAATAAAAGCAATGCTCTGACAGCAATTTAAAAACCTCTTTAACACAGTTTTAAACTGCTTCTCTGAATGCAGAATCTATGACATATACCTTACCATACTCGTAGCTTTGATGTACACATTATCTTTCAAATGACAGTTTCCATCATGGGGAATTACAATCCCTGCTAATTTACTATCAAGGGCCAGATGGGAAGTTTGATCTGTCATCACAAGAAGCAGTCGCTTTGCTTCTTTACGCCATCCAATATGGCTCTAAAAAGAAAACAAAATTAAGCATAAGAAAGCAGTAACTACCTGTTTTCTAAAATAAATAAAAAAATGAAAAATGAACGTGAAAATCTACTTTCAGATATCACACTGCTTAGCAGTACTGAGTTTATACAAAGCTATTTAAAGCATTTCATGTGGAAATACATATCATGTCCTATGTCTGAAAACTAACACTGTGAATCAGAGATCCACTTACCACTTTATTAGCTTTTTAAAGAAAGATCTCTCAAAATATATAGAAGCTATGCATTATATAGTAGGCTTGGGTAACATCTGCCACATTGTGTGTGTCTCTATTACATACAAATGCAAATGCACAGCATTTGTAAAGTTCTCTGAGATCCAAAAAGCATGACAAGCAATAAATATGCATTAATTCATATTAGTATTTGGTACTCTCTTCTATTTTTGCTTTATATTTACTTATATTCTCACAATTCTGTATTTCCTTTTCCTACACAGCTTTCCAGAAAGGACATTAGCATATGACCAACAAATCAATAAACGAAAGTTTGAGTGTCTTCATGCACCTGCAAACTGAGAAACTTCTCATTATGGAGCAAAATATTACATCTATCCACCATCTTAAGTAACCAATAGCAAAGTGGCATCCGCAAGGGTGAATTTAATGTGTTTTAGGAATTTAGTGATGCGAAGGAAGTAGAAGGACAAACTTATATCTAGACTGGGTTGGGTGCCAATTTGTATTTTCACAACATTTATTCCCCTACAAGGAATAAACAGCTGCCTTAAATCAAACTTTACAGGCACACATGAATCACCTCATATTCTTTTTCATTATTTCCCCTCCCAACTATTACATCTTCTTCTTCACTAATTTCATATTTCCTCCTTTTTCCTTCTTCTGCTCCTCCTTCCTACCACACCGTCTTATCTCTGCCATTTCTCTTAACACTGCCAGATATCCTTCATCTCAAGTGAAACATGCATCTGCAATACAGTCCATGCACTCAGCCATGCTTCATGACTTATCCTCTACCTTCCTGTCTTTGCTTTGCAGAGAGGGATTTATCTCCCTTCTCAGTTTCATTCCCTGCTAGCTCTGAATGGGTATTAAGTATCTTGTAACAGTACAGTTAGTAAGTACAGAAGGATGTGATGTCTTTTCCAGCTTACATGTTAAGCATCAGCCTCCCTCAGTCAGTCCTAAACAGCATTCCCCGAAAGAAGGGGTATTTTAAGTTTTATGTATAAACAGGTTATATTTTAAATAATCCCAAATTCTCGTCCCGCACTGTAGAAACTTGTTGCTCCCAAGACTCCATCATTTCACTTTGTCACCTCAAGGCTCTTATACCTACATACGTCACAGCAACCAAAATTTTAAAGTAGCTTCATGTCCTAACCTGCTACTGCTTGCAACAGGAATGTATTGGTTAAAGCAAGATGAAGCAAGTTATAAAGTTCTACTGTAGGCAAAATGAGTGCACAGTAATATAAATTATAGTTCATGATGGTCATTATGAATTGCATATTGTTCTCATCCACTTTGGTTCATAATTCAGTTAGCAGGAAAGCCGCCCCATTCTCATGAATGTTTCCATTCTATTGTTTTTGGAAGTGCATATTCTTCTAGAGCTCACGTCATAAGTGTGGAATGTGTCCAGTGAGAAACACTGAATTTTAAGGAATTTTTCCAAAGCTCCTGAATAATTTTTTTATGACAGCTATGATCACAATGTCTACTAAAAGTGGCTTTTGTTGACCTGTTTTAAAGCTCATCAAAATCTGAAAATAAAAGGGGCCAAACTATTAATTTTTAGCATAGTTTGGATTACTTTCTGTCCTTGGCTCATTCTACTGCTCCAAAAAGAATGCGAAGATGGATGAGATAAAAGAATCATCCTGACATCATCCCAAGAGATAACCCACCAGGTCTTTGATTTGGACAGAAGCCAAATAATTTTCTTTAAGAAGACTAGAAAAAGTATCTTACAGAGCATTAGCAAACCCATGAATCAGACAATTTTCAAAATTTCTATTGCAGTATTATGAATAGAAGAAAAACAACATGCAAAATGGCCCTTCAGAGCAAACAAATTCTTATTATTTAATATGCTTCTAGCTTGGGAACTACTGATGCAGATATGAAATTTTATCAATACACAAAAGTTAATTTTTAGTTGATTTGCATTGTTTTTAAATATAAATTCTTTAAAAACTGAGGTAACACTGAAGTGAACTTGTTTTCCTTACCCACACAAGCAGATATGTAACTGATCCTTCAGTTTTCAAATACATTCTTAAGTAGAAGAAATGTCAAACAGTATGTTTTCACTTAAGAACACAAGGAGGGCTTTAATGATTTTTGAAACTAATTTTGTAATTGACCGAAATTAATACATGTGCCTATTCAAGCAAGAAGCAGTTGCTTCCATCATCCATCCTATACTGGTTAGGCTTGTTAAAGCCAGAATTTGAAGAACATCATTAATCAATACTGAAAAATATTTCCTTATGTCCTCCTTTTTCAATTTCAACAACAAAGAGAAATGTACAGCTAAGGGAAAAGTAATGGAAAAGGAGGCAGAAATCTTACTATTATCAGGCCTAGAACTGACATTTTGAATTCAGGAACACTGAGCACTGTTGTACCGGCATATATATCTCTCCATGTCTGAACTACCATTTAGTCTTAAGCATCTCCTTACCTGGCACACAGCTGCTTGGAGCATCGCATCAAAACCCCCTTCAGGTGTATCAATATTCCCAGAAATTTTTTGTTTATTCACTGCATTTCTGAATTCTGCTATATTGTCAGTCAGCGACAGCACATGAATATAACCATGAGGAGGCATACAATCTAAATTATAATCACTGTAGAAAAATAAAACAAAAGTCTAACACATTCTGTATTTTCCATTTGAAGAATATGTAAATACTGCATCCCCATTAACCCATAAAATCCTTGTACTAATGAAGATTTATATATGCACAGTAGAAGAAACACCTAAAGAAAGAAAAATAACTCCACGTGATATTGAGTGAGAATCATTTCTACCTTATAATGAAAAATGTTGTTTGTTTTTTTTTTTAATTTTATGGAAATATATATCATATAACTTAGTTAATATGGTAGCAGTACATATGTAATGTTTCTGCAGAGAACAAAAAGAAACACAATGTGAGCAATGGTGTGATCTCAGAGAGTGTATGATCCCTTTTGGAACATCTGTGGAGTGATACAGCTTTGCTTTTCATTATCCTGAGAAAAGACTATCACATTGCAACATTAAGACCCTTTAATAGCTTGATACGCAGGCCACTGGATCAAAACTAAAATAAAATCTAAGTTCCTACATCCACTAGTAGTAAGCAAATGTACATAAAATTAATGTTGAGATTAGTGACAGTTATCTCATTAAAGGGATGGGAAACTCCATTTTCAGTAACATCTTAGTTGTAAATTATAATTTTTGAAATTATGTATAAGGGAGAAAGTGTGAAGTTTGACATAATTAAGCTAATGCCACAGCACTTATACAGGTCATTGGTCTGCAACCTATTTACGGCAGTGGAATTTATGGCACAAGCTGAAGTGCTCATTTGATTCAGAGATGCTGAGCAGGTTTCAACTCACTTAACTTCTGTTGCATACAGTGTAGGCATCCAGACTATAACCTGCTCACCCCCAACTCAATTCAGAGTCACTGAAGAGAAACTGGCACTGTTAAGTATTAATACATCTGCAAAAGTCTACTTTTAGCAAAATGAATCATGTCCTAGAAGTGCTAATTGATTCCACTCACTACATAGACAGTCTAGATAACTGCTTTATACATAGACATTTATATCTATCTAATGAATTCCACTGCTAGTGCCCAATTCAAAAACCATTGAAATAAAAAAAAGATACTTATGGACTTAACAGAAATTTGGACCATGCCTTCCCAGGAAAGACAATAATGAGCAAGAAGTTATGAACAGCTAATATTCACTTTTCCAAGATTATGGTTTATACAGATTTGAATTTGTTGTGAATAATCTTGTTCTCCAGAGCATTTTGGAAGTGATCCCTCACTTTATATAAATTGTTGAAAGCAAGGTATAAAAGACATGGCATGAAAAAGAAATGCAAGCCACAACACCTTTCTTATTTAAAATGGGAGTTCATTCATATTACAGCTGTGGAATTAGATCAGAGGACTGCTTTTGTTCATTAAATGAGCTGAAAGAAGCTGCATCACATTGACAAAAATAGAGTTTTAAGAAAAGAGTTAATGAATACATGACCATACACCAGAAGAGAAATCTTAGGTCAGAAAGTACAAAACTTTGTGATGAAAGTAGGCAACATATATCCAAAATAACTAAGAACACAAGAGTTGACTATAAAGTTAAATACAAAACATATTCAAATATACCAAACCAGCATGTTGTTTGGCTTGTTTTGCTAAAGAAAATACAGCACATTTTTTTCCGAAATCATTCATCAGATATTTCATAAGTAATCACTGTATAATAAATTACAGCATTTTCTTAGGAACTTTGCTGGAGAACCAAGGTATAAATGAAACAAAGACAGATTCTGAAGAGCTTTAAAAATAAATATGCATAATGCATATTTGTGTAATTAAGTAATTTCTCAGTGGTACAGTAAATATATAAAGACTACATACCTGCATTGGTTATGGATTCTACCTGGATGAATGCTAATATAGGGTGACACAGTTTTATCCACATAGGATCCAAATCCAAGTCGAAAATCAAGAGAAATATTTGCCATCTTTTTAGATAAAGCAAATCCAACGGAATTTAGTTTTTCTATATTGTTGTGCATAGAGGCTGAGACATCAACTAAATAATAAAGATCCACAGGGTATTTCTCTAGAGGATGAACTTTTAACATAAAGTTTGCTTCACTTCCTGATTCAAAGGAAACAAATAAGTTTATTTACTATTTTTGAATGGAGACTCTTAAAAATACATTTATTTTTGCAGCAACCTCAGCACAAAGTTGTTTGTGTCAGCAAACAGAAAAACAAACAAACAAGAAAACCTCTCAAGAGTAAATGAAACCTTGAAGCATCGTTCAAAAATAAGCCATAAAGGGGCTCTTTGTAGACAGCTTGGATTTTTTTTTTTTATTTGTAGGAGCACTGTGCAATTTATTGTAAAAATCAGACCTCTCCCCATTTTCTTTTAAACTCCTGGTTATGCAATCCATTTGGCATTATATCAAAAAGCAGTTATGACTCACAAAGGACACAGATCTGCATATAAATTGTGGTCAGTCACTTCAAGGTTGACACTTCTAAGTATGTAAGTGTATCCTGCAAATAGTTTGTCATATGAATCTAAAACGATATGTGTACCATAAACACAGCACAGCCTGAAAAACTCAAATTATGTTTCAAGTTTATACGATTCTACTTCCAAAGATTCTATAAGAAAACTCAGTAAGATCAAAATACTTTAAAAAAGGAGGTTTTACTATGAAAAAAAAAATCCATCTTTTGGTGTATACAAACAGAACTCTTATTTCAGGATGACAAATGTCTGCCTCTCCTGCAGAACCACATCACGTTCTTGCATGTAATAAAACTGTTAATGTTTGGGAAGCCACTAGAAATAGTTCACACATTTTTCCTTGCCTAATATTCTGTATTGTCAGCAAAGTGACTGGAGTATAGGCAGCACAGGTACACTAATGCCTGACTTCAAATGGTTCATTATTTTGTCACCAAAAGTGTGAGCTCACAGAAGAAATGAGGGAGTAGGATACTCTTGTGATGAGCGCAGAATGCAATTCAGCATTATACAATGAAGATACAGCAAAGGACAGGAGGAAGGGAGACATTATGGAAGAATTATGCAGGTTTTCAATAAAAGCTATCTGAACACATTTAGAAAAAGACTCACTAAAAAACCCCACCTGAAATATGACTTATCTGTTCATGACATGTACTAGTACATATGACAGATAGCACAATTAAGGTACATGTAACAAAGATCTCAACCGGGAGAGTTAAACCTTCTTCCAATGGTCTTTGAACATAAGCAACCTGGAAATACCACAATTTTTCTGTATCAGGTCTTGCATGAAGAAAACAGAATTTTAATGTTCCGGAACTTAAGTGTTTCCTCTTTGCCACTGTAAATCAAACTACTTTTTGTAAGTGAACTTTGCAGGTCTCCAGTCTGCATAGAGCAAGCTGCTGAGTGCAGCTTTTATTTTTTCCCATGTAAATCCTGACAGTTGGGTATATGTAAACAATGACCAAAAAACACAGTATCAAAACAACACCATCTTTGTCTGCATGATTATACTGCATCAAATTTCTGTTTTGAGGCACAACTATAGATGTATATGTGTATTTCCCTGGGGAATAAAATACAGGCAAGATGTCTATATATCAAAAGTTACTCTTCTAGAGCACTCAGAATTTCAGCCTTCTGCCTCTCTGATGCCAGAACTTCCACAAAGCATACAGAACTCCAAACTTAATTACACTATTTACTGGCAAAAAATTTTCATTAAACCAAAGTTTAGAAAGCTAAGTTTTTTCTATGAATCCAGTATGCCTTTGGAAGTAAATGTGATTACAGACACTTCTAGAGCTAGCTTGTTTCCTGAGACCATTTCTCAGTACAAAGCAGAGTATCCATCATTTCTCTGGAAGGAGAGTGGGGAAAAGAAAGGAAGTGCTGATGTTACTTTTTCAGTTTGTTATTATAAAGATGGAAAACCAGAGTTGCTTTGTGCTTTACACTCATGCAGGTCCTTCCTTTTTCCCTTGTGACTGACAGAAAATTATCTTTTTATACAGTGAAGATCAGCAAGATACCTTTCCTATTCATGTAATCTTTTTCTACCAAAGACTGATCCCTCTTAAATGACATATTTCTTTCCCCAAATACAGTTTGCAAAAGAAAGAAATAAATTAAATTTTATCATATGAAACATACCCTGCATCCCTTTACATCACCTTCCACTTCTGCTGTTGGCTACAGCTATTTTAGAGAACATACATTGATTTAACTTGAGTTCAGTTGAGGGCAAATAGAGATATACCAGAAAAATCTCAGATCCATAAAAGAGCTCGTAGATTTTATTAGGGCCAGGCATATCACATTTTATAAATGAAATGTTAGGCAGTGAATATCTAAGTCTCCTTTAGTAGGAATCCAGCCCTTTCTTATACACTGGCTTTGGTGTCTTCACAGTTGTCTAGTCAATGGACTTAAAAGTAACCAAATTATCAAAAAGCTTATCAAATAATGAATGATGAATTTAGGAATTCTAGCCCAATTTACTTTCAATAAGGAGTACAGTTTATATTCATGTAAGGGAAAACTATTCTAGTGTAAGTAGCTAAACAATCAAGAAACCGTAACAGAAAACAGAAAAGACTACCTAAAATCCCTTTTCCACTTATTACTGGTATTATTCTAACCTTCAGCTGTGTTTGGCAGAAACACTCCTTGCTGAAGATGGCAGTTGAATATAGGAGCAACACCATCATAGTCCTGCAATATAATGTTATGCCATCATTCTTCAAAATAATTATCCCAGTCGCTTCTTCACAAAATATCTGTACCTAGTAGTATTGTATTTAGTTTAAATTGATTATAATATCAATGTGTTAAGAGACAACCCAACCTGGACGCAGTTGGACCGAAACTTTTCCTGGTGTCACTTGTGTATTTGTTTCATGGTCACTGGGTATTGTGACATGAACTGTGGGATTTTCTACAAAATCTGATTGGCAGCCTCTTTTCATTAAGTTGAAAACAGTGTCACAGCGTCCCTTCTGTGTTGCGTCGGCCATGAAATTCTGTTTTATAAGAGACAAAAAGTACAAAACAATCTGAGCTGAAAAAAACAACTGTAATATCTTCAAAGGAAAGAGAAAAACAAAATAATAGTCTTTGAAGCAGCAAAATGTGCTACTATAATTGCATAAACTGTAGAATGAGTTCATGAAAGTCATATGTTTTTAATAAGGGCAATGACAGAATATTTAAATTAGAAGTTAAACATAATTGCTACAATGACTTTCTTCTACAAAACAAAACTTTTGTATGAGAAAGAGGATCTTGCACAATCAGAAAAAAATGACTTTGGAGAAAAAGGAAACTATGTACTGTCACTATGTCACTAAAAAAAGCTCTGCCCTGCTATGAGTTAGTTATACCAAGAAAGTGTCATTCACATGACATTGAAACAGGTTAGTTTCCAGAGGAATCCACTGGTAATGTTACTTAGGCTAATATTTAAAAGTAGCAGCAGAAGCCAGCTTTAGTTTTATCTAACCTGAATTTGTCTATCACAGATGTTTAAGTCTTACCCCACACCCTACACCAAATCCAAAGACCAGCTGGACTATATCACTTCAATCCCCAGAAGGAGGAGACTACATAGTACAAGGCTGGACAGCTTAAGATGCCACCACCAAAAAAAAAGAGGCCACTATGACAACAGAAAAGTGATTAGTAGTAGGATGATCTCAGAAGCAGCACTTCCTTTGTTGCAGTGAAAGGGCAAAGTTGCCAAAATTGTGCTAATGTGATCCACTGCAAAATTCTTTCCTGACCACAAAACTGATGATTAACAGGATCTTGATCATGCAAAGAAAAAAAGACAAGATCCTTTGTATTCTTTCAAAGCATTGGTCCATCCCAGCCACAGCTGGAGACCAAACAATGGACAATCTCTGATATTTCAGAGGCGGATGGGGAAAATAAACAATCAAAAAGTGCATACAGCCAGCTGTGTATTAAAGAGTAGCAATCCAGACCCTGAACAAAACAGAGAAAGCCCCTGAAGAACGAGACTCAACAGTCATTTATCTCATTTTCCAAGTTCCAACTCATTTTTGTAGTCTGAAATATTTTTTCCATATCCTTCTTCAATGTAGACAACTGAGACAACTTTTTAAAGTTACTTCTATTTATATACCCTTTTTGATGTATATACATTTCAAAAAGGTAGATTTTGAACTATAAAGCACTTGTTACTCTCATTGTTATCACTAACGACTGATAGATGTGTAGCATTTTCTGAAGCCGCTTACTGGAAATCATGTAATTAACTGGGTTTTCTGCCAAACAATAACAGAAATTCCCATATTCTTACAGTTCACAAATCAGTAATAATTTCAGAATAATTCTTGCTACCTAAGATCTATCTTCTGTGGTAAGTCTGAGAACTGACAGCTTCAAATGTCGAAATAAGAAGAGTATAATTTTTTCCGTTTGTGACAGGGTCATAATATATGGTGATGTCAAAGTTAACTCCACTGCTAGTAAAACCTTTTGTTAAATGAAATAGGCATATATGTATAGACTTGCTCTGATATATAATGAGGACTTAATATAAATTAATGATAAGTAATTTTGCTTTTGAAGCCAAAAAATGTTGAACTCTCAAAGTTACTACAAGTCTGCCAAAGCTGTCTACAAAGCAGATGGAACGCATTAAAAAGTTCTCACTTTATTTAAAATTACCGCAATTTTCCAAATAAAAGATTGTATTTTATCCTTTGGAAACAAAATATATTTCACATGATTTCTCAGGTTCTGTCTCCAGAGGTCATTTAAAGATTTTCCTGCTATTTCTCACTATAATTTTCATGGTTTCAAAGTCTTTTATCTTTATAAAGATCAGAAGCAGCTAAAATATAAAGGAAAAAGTAAATAAGCAAAATGCCATACCTCTTGAGCACACCATCCACACTCTGGACCCAACGCAAGACACTTTGTACATGTTCCTGCATTTGAAGTGGCACATCTGTTTTCTGCTACAATGAAATATAAAACCAAACATTCACGATTTATGATGATATGTGGGAATTGTAAAATACCTAATTTTAAACCAAGATTTCAAAAATTACTTCACCGGATTAAGAGTGCTGACAACGTATCCAAACAGAAGTAAAACAGAACAAAGGCACCTCAGCGAGGGAATCTTGCTGTATATTTTTTTTGATCTACAGTCTAGAACTGTATGTACAGATTGAATAAAATCCATTCCCAAGGCCAAATTTTTAAGATCCTGATTTAGAATAATCTTGAAGTGAAAGTTTGTCTTTGGCATATACCCTGCTGATTTACTGTGTAAGTGAAAAAATCTACTAGGTAGCTTATCTCCTAATAGACATTTTCCTTCTAAGTCATTTACACTTGATTGAGTTATTCATTATTCTCTTTGCATGGAACCCAAAATATTTTCTCACCTTCTATAAATATTCCCTCTCTGCATTTTCTGGAATGAATAGTTTCCCAGAAGAGGCGGAATTTTTTTTTTTTTTCAGAAGTGAATACAAATGTATCCAACATTATGTGTGACACAGATTGAAGACACATTCTGTACTAACAACTGCAAAAATTGTGCCTAATAACAGGTCTATCAGCAAGCCCTTTATACCCTTTCCACAGCTTTGTTTTATAGGTCATTACTTAAGTTACTACTCTTTGCTACAAAACTTTGGCAGTCAGAATTGAGAAGAGATAGCATTTTCAAGGGACTTGGTCAGCTTAACTTGAATGTCAGCACTAGAATATCCTTTCAGCACGTTCAGCACAACTCCCTTGCAGACCAGTGTGCCTCTACATGAGACAGAATTTGCCTGCCAAGAGCTATGAGGAAGACACATAATATGACTCTTCGGTGCACAGCACAGTAGTAGTGCTGTTTAACAACACTGCTTTGTGGTATATCCAGCATGGCATACTGTAAAAATCACTGGAAACAAAATAAAATTAATTATGGCATACTGGAAAGGCTACATCTGTTAATTGGTCCATCATGATAATGTGCATATTATCATATCAAAACAGTTTGGAGAAAGGTTTGCTTTTCATCCAAAGTTTTGGCTACATGGACTGTCTCAGATTATTTCTTCCCAATCTGCAATAATGCAAACCATCACTCTTTTTAGAGTAATGAGAGTAATTTATTACAGTGAAAAGCTGTATTAGGAAAACATGTACTAAAATATCTTTTTAATCTTTATTTAACTGTTTTCAGCTATGGATTCAAAGATGAGATCCTGTATCACATGAACTCTACTCCTCAATAGGTCACTCTGAATAACTGATGATCCAAGGAACTAATCACAGCCTGCAAATTCTTAGCATCAACAACATATATACCATTATCAGTTCTAACAAGATAGAAAAGCCTAGTACAGCACAACTGCAGCATTATACTGATGACATACAGGTTAGTGGCAATTTAATTAATTTCAAAACTGAGACCTATATTTCTATTTTGTATAAACGGCTGTTGACAATTTTTGCCATGCAGGCAATGTGAGAAAAGAAATGAGTATGAAAGGAAGAGAAACTCTTACAGATATGATAGAAACAATAAGCTGAAAAGCAGCCCAGGAAGGTGCTGGAACAGACAGAAAACTGACTAAAGGGTGGGAGAGGTGGACAGGAATAAGCAAAGGAGGAGTTGCTAAGGAGAGAAAAAAGAACAAGACAAAATCCAAAAGGTTTTTGTTTGTTTGTTATAAAAAACAAACACAGCAAGTTTGACTTGGATGTGCAATGAGAGCAAGCACATTCTGCACTGGCACAATAAAACTTCTTTGCATTTATAAGATGGCAACAGCATTTTATATTCTGCAGTCCGAAAGAGCAGACCTGGAGGTCACAGAAAAGGTTACCGCAAACTGCAGGAGAGGAGAACGAGGATGAGGATTCCAGGTAGGTACCGACATGCACAGAGTTGTAGAACTTGCCACAGTTTCCCTTCTAGACAGTATTGGTAAAGCGCAAAGACACAGGATGAAAAGTTGAAGGAGTAAAAAGAATGCAATTGTTCTTGGCACAGAAACATCACTCCCATCTTCAACTGGTTACCAGAAACAACAGAGATGAAAGGCATTGCAAGAAAAAGAGAGTAAAGTGATGGATTCAGTAAAAGTGTCAAAGGACAAGGAAAGATGAATTGCTGATCTGCAACATAAAAGCAGCTAAAGACCACCATGGGGCAAAATAGGGAGGAGATTACATGAAATCAAGTTAACATCCACTGTAAGAGATAGAGCTGTTCTGATAAAAATAAATAGTTGACAGGAAGAAACGAGAGACCTGTGTTTCTAGCTATACAGAAAAGGAATAAGGCAAAATAATTCCTGGTCATCGTAATCAGTAAACCGAAGTAAACCAAATAATGAGTTTGGCCTAATTAATTTCCCGCAGTAATGTCTGAGACTCCTTTCTTAAAACATATAGGTATATCTGTATAACACACATTTTCCAAAATTAAATGCCACTGACGATGTAACAAAATATTACTATCTTATTGTAATATGCACTTGTAAAAAAAAAAATTAGTATGTGTCTATGGCTGGAACAACTGTACCATATTTCCAGATGCACTGGAAATGTGACTGAAAAATAATTCTCCCAATTTTTTTTTTTTTTCTGTAGGGTTAACTTACTGAATCTATTGAAGCTTGATTTGGTTTATTAATACAGTCTGCCTCATAAAATATAGGGGGGAGTGTCCTTCTAAACTGCTAAGGCAGAAAAAAAGATCATAAAACCCAGTTTGTGTTCTCAGTGTGATCATGGCAGATGAAATCCTTTAACAAATGAGATATACAGTATTGCTGGATGCAAATCTCTTTGCTGATAATTCTCCACACTCAAGAGCTCCATTTTCGCAACATGAAGTCACGGATTGGCAACTGACAAGCTTGGTACCATTGGCTCAAAAAGTTGATTTTTTTGGAATAAAGAGAAACTTGAAAAAGGTTTATTAATGCCCAAGAGACATTCTGGCTACATCACTACCATAGTTCCCAAGTACATAGTCCCTTATAGCTGTAACATTTATGGACATGCTTTCATTCATCAAATATTTATTATTCATTTATAAGCCTACTCTAAAACCATAACTGATTTAGTATAAACTTCTCAGTTTCTTTTAAAAGTCATATGCTAAAGCAAGAAAAAAATTTTTTTTATGAGTTGGCTCAAATAAGAACAGATTTTTCCTGCCACTTCACCAAAAACAGAGTCCAGACAAGACTGAGTTACAGTTTAGCCAAAGCTATGGGCAAGTTTCTACTGGCTTGGTTATAACTACTGTATGCCAAAAGGTATTTTCAACAAGGGCCAAATTTTGTGCTGGGAACATAGGCATATGCATATAATAAAAAGTGAGTGCAGCAGGTTAAACTGCACTTTTCCAGCCTCCGACTGCAGCTATTTACAGTGATCACAGGTATGGCAAGCCTAAACTCTCAGCAACAAGAAGGATCAAGGCAAGACAAATATCATATATTTCTAATCATATCCTGCCTCCCTATTATGAAAATAACTTTATCATGATCAGGGTATTTATCTCAGAGATGAAATAACGCACACTGGTGTTTGAGAGGAGATGTTAAACAGGTTTTCAAACAGAGAGCACTTTGTTCAAGTACAGCCAAGAATTCGGATTGATATCAACTTCACTGTTGGTATACATTTGTGCTGTTTTCAGAGGGTGTACCATTTGCTTTCTTTAAAAGAGAACGCCAAAATATAACTAGCAGTTTATACTCCCGGATCGTGGTTCACAGACTGTTGAACACTAGTTAAGGCAAAGAAGATACGGAATTATTTAGCCTCTAGAGAGCTTTTTTTCCTTAAATTCTGCATCCAATCTTGTTCTAGGGCAGCAATCAGCCTCTCCACTGACAATGTGGCCTTCAATAATGTAGCATCACTTTGGAGAAAAAAATGTAGCTTTTATGCAGTATACTGCAGTTATCTTCACCTTTTTGTCTTTCTTCAGGAGCTAAACATGACTCCTGCAAAGGGGACAGGCAGTAACTGTCCCAGCCAACACACAGCTTCTCAATTCACTATGGCTGAATGTGCAGATACAATGAAAAGCATTGTAAAAGTGATGGGGGGGGGCGGCGGGGGGGGGGGATATGAACACAGTACCCTATGAACATGAGGGGCATTACTGAGAGCAACATGAATGACACAAATAAAGTGCCATCAAAATGCAAAGTAACGCAGTAGTATGCCTCATTGTACAAGAGTTCATCATGTCTTTGCAAGCTATGCAGTAAAATAACCAAGATCTTCCCTTTTTGCAGATTGTGCAAGATCTGAGTGATGTCACTCAAGAGAACTCATGCTGGATTTCAGCTGAACAAGGCAAAGGCAAAGGGGGAGGAGGAAAAGGGGGAGACCTCTGCCAACACAGCATTCGAAAAGCTCTGGCAGAAAAGGACAGTCGTAGCTGATGCCGGAGGACAGCAAATGTATCAGAAGTCTGCTGTGTAATGGCACATGGAGATGGAGTTCCCAAGCAGTGCACGGACATCAATAATTAGGGAATGATATAGACATTAGGCTTCAAGGAGGTACTCCTGATACCTCTCTGAGCCTACACGTGTTAGCCTCACCTCTCGGAAAAGTTTAATTACATATAAATGTTGCACATCATTCAAGAGGAGAACCTGGAGAACAGAAGCCTCACACAAATGCATATAAACTCAAGTTTTTCATGTATGCACATCAGTTTAGAGGATTTTTTAAAATTTTGTCAGAAAGATGAATACAGCAACAATTTGGAAAAGGTACTACCCAAAATAGCTACTGGTTACACATAGGACTCACAAACACAACATTCAAACCACAGCCTCAAACATGACCTTGACTGTGGGAGACAGAGCTACTGACTACTCCAGACTGACTTAGTTCCCAAGCCACAATACAGAA